CGGCGGCAGCTCCGACGCGGAGGACGCCTCCTCGGCAGGTGGGTGCCGCGGGTGGGAGGGGGGACCCCGGGCCGCGTCAGGGCCCAGGGGGGGCCGTCCCCACCCCTCGTCCCAGGGGATCCCACCCCAGGGACCAGGGTGTCCCCCGGGGCCCTGCGCCGTCCCCGTCGCATGGTCAAGGGCATCCCGTGCCGCTGCGAGGCCGAGGGCATCACGGGCCATCCTGAGCCCCCGTGCTGTACCCACGGCACAGCCAAGGCACCCCGTGCCACGCCGTCCCCACGCCGCGCCGCAGGTAGAGCCATCCCAAGGCCCTGGGCTGTCCCCCTCACACAGTTGGTCCCCATGCTGTGGCACAGTGGAGGACCTGGCCGGTGTCCCCAGGCTGTCCCCATCACACAGCTGGGGACACCCCATGCTGTCACACGGCTGAGGCTGCCCCAAGCCCTTCTGCCATCCCCATCAAAAAGATAATGCCACCCCCAGTGTGTGTGCCGTCCCCATCCCACCGCTAAGGTCACCCCAAGCCCCCGTGTCATCCCAGTTCCACTTCCAAGGGCATCTGGTGCCAAGGCCTCATCCTTGGGCATGCAAGGAGGGCGGGTGGCTGGCCGGTGCCCTGCAGCTGGCTGGCTCTCGGGGTTGTGCCGCTGGCCCCGGAGCCACCTCTGGGGCTGGAGCACTGCAGGAAAGTCACTTCCTCCAGGTGTGGCCTGGCTCACGGGGACACCTCTGCTGGGGTGACTCCCTGTGATCTATGGGGAAGTCCTGGAGCTGCTAAAGCAGAAGCGTGCCGGAGTGGTGCCGTGTCCCGGGGCATTTCCCTGGGCAGATTGAGGACGATGTTGTTTTGCAAGTAACTGGCTGTTCCGTGGCACTGAAGGCGCAGCCAGCTAGCGCTGTCACCCATCACGCTGTCCTACTTCCAGTGGCCTGGAAGTTGTTATTGCATCAGCTTTAATCCCAGTTCAAACACAGTCCTGACAGCTAGGGAGTGTCACTTTTTATGTCACTAATTCTGCAGCTGACTTGAGTTAATTTTGTTCTCGCTCGATTGTTTGGGGTGGTGGTTTTTCCCCAAAGCTGTATTGTGCCGGTTTAAGATTGCCTGGGTAGCAAGCATTCTGATGTCAAACTGTGCTTAATATTTAGTGTCGTTTATATTTATTGCATTAGTTTACAGCACTGGAGAACAACTCAGTTTCTGTTTCACCTTCCCAAGCTGTCTGGAGGTGAAACATCCCAATTACGTGGCTGCTCTTGGTGTTGGCTCCGTTCTGTGCCGGGCTCTCTCCCACGAGCGTTTGTGCCCAGCGGGGACCGGCGTGGGAGCTGCTCCCAGCCCTGCAGCAAGCACCAAGGGCATTCGATGTGTCGCCTTCAAAGGGCCACCCCAAGCCCTTCTCCAGCTCCCCGTCAGCGGCCACCGGTTGTAGTTTTTGGAGAGCTGCTCGGCAGCTGAGGGAACTTGAGTGCGTCGGAGCGACCAAGCGCAAATCCTTCTGATTTATACTCGGATCCTGCATTTTATTTATATCTAGGTAATGCTCCTGAATGCTTCCAAACACCCAGGACTGTGCAAGGCCCCGCTCAGACTGGAGGGGTGTTGTTAAAGGGGCTTCCCTGGACCACAGCATAAGCTCCCAAGGGTCCCAGCTTTGTAACCTGGAGGTGTCCTCTACCCCCGCACCGCCCTTCCAAGACCTTTACAGCCGGTCGGGGTGAGCCTTTTAGGCAAGACCTT